AAAAATTTATTAATATCTTAGTAATTTTCTTTTTTTTTTGTTTCTTCGGGCCGTAATTTTGCTACTCGTAAAAAACAAAAAAACAAAAATTTTTTAAAAGATGAAATCGTGCAAAATAAAGAGGGGATTGTTATTATTATTATTATTATTATTATTACGGGTTAAAAAATAATAATTTTTTTGTATACGTCATTTCCGGTTTTGTATTTTTTTTTTTTTAAAAAAAATTTATTTTATTGATTTCGCGGTAGGATGAATTTTCATGAACGGTCGCAAATTTTTTTTTTTTTTTTTGCATGGATCGTCACGGTCGTGTCACCAACGATCGTCGTACACGTTCCGGAAAAAGTTTTTAAATGGGGGGGGGGTGGTGGTAGTAGGAAAAGTGCGTAAGAAAAAAAAGAAAAAAAATTTTTTTCCCTACGTGTCTCTCTCACTCTCTCTCTCGTGTCTCTTTCTCTCTCTCTCTCTCTCGTGTCTCTCTCTCTCTCTCTCGTGTCTCTCTCTCTCTCTCTCTCTCTCTCTCTCTCTCTCTTGTGTCTCTTTCTCTATCTCTCTCTCTCTTGTGTCTCTTTCTTTCTCTCTCTCTCTTGTGTCTCTTTCTCTCTCTCTTTCTCTTGTGTTTCTCTCTCTCTCTCTTTTCATTAAATAATTTTTGTTTTTTTTTTGCAGGTCGCCGTCGACATGAATTATTTTCACCCGTCTGAAATGTCAGTCAAGGTCATCGATAACACGGTCGTCGTCGTCGAAGCCAAACACAAAGAAAGACAAGATGACCAATTGGGTTGTATATCGAGACATTTTTTACACAGGTATCGATTACCCAACAACGTGGATCCAAACAGCGTAACGTCGGATTTGTCCGATAAGGGAATACTCACGGTAACGGCTAAAAAGGTAAGACATCAAAAATCATTTTTGCCAACTTGCGGAAAACGAAAAACGAACAAAAAAAAAAAAAAAAAAAAAAAAAAAGGAAGCTTCGAATCGTAATTTATTTTGTAACGGAGATTTTGTTTTTTTTTTTTTTTTTCGTTTTTGTTTTCGCTAATTAAACCCGAAAATAATAATGATAATGATAATGATAAAGTAAATCGCGTGAAATAATTTTTTTTTTTTTTTTTTTTCGACCGTGAGAATTTTTTTTTTTCCCCCGATGTTTTCGCTCTGATTTTTTTTTTTTTTTTTGCTTTTATTCTCACCTTTATCATTTGATCAACTTTTTTTATTTATTTTTATTTTAATGACGTCATAATTTAAATTTTTTTATTACTCTATGGAACATTTCACAGTTGCCGCGCATCCTATTGTTTTTTTAAGTTTTCATTTCCGGAAGTCGAAAAAAAAAAAAAACCGAACGGATGTACGACCGGTATGGGTTTTTATTTTATTTTATTTTACTCTTGAGAAATTTTTTTTTTTTTTTTTTTCCGAATGAATCATTTTATTAAAGTTCGGGGTTCAATTGATATTCTACGTTGGGTTAAAATTCCATTTTTTAATTTTATTTGTTTAGCTTATGAGTGGATTTTTCCCGAATCGAGCAGAACATTATTTACGTTCAGTCAGGGATTTTACATTAAGGTCAAATTACTTTTCTCTCACTTTTCTCGTCGGCCTCTTTTTTTTTTTCTTTTTTAATTTAATAATTACTGTAATAAATCGTTTCTTTTATAATTTTCAAAACTTTTTCTCATTCGTCGTCCCGTATTCGAGTTTCGAATCCGTAAAACGTTTTTATTTTTGTTTACTTTTCTTTTTCCACGTCGTTCGAAACGATGACAGCGCTCCGTATCCGAAAAAGAAAAGTTACGTTCGATGACGTCACGATTTAAAAATTTAACATTTAAAAGCGCGCGATCAGGTCGGTCAACCTTTGAATTGTGCAAATAAAAAATTTTTCTCTCTCTCTCTCTCTCTCTCTCTCTTTCATTTTCCATATATTAAACCGGTTTTTCGTATACAAATCAGTCGTCGTCACTTTTCTTTTTGCCTTTTCTAACGAATTTAACTTTTATTAATCTACCGTTAAAATAAAAAGAGAGAGAGAGAGAGAGTTCCGGGTTGTTGAAAGAAGGAACGAGAGAAAAAAAAAAAAAAAAATGGAAACGAGTCGGTCGAGATTTTTATATAATGAGTTAATGTATATGAAATGCGTGGGGGGCGGTAAGGGGAGGAAGGGAGGGGTGGTGAGGGCGAGGGCGAGGGGGGAAATTTAAAGATTAATTTCTGCCACGATGATGAATTAATTAAATGCTTTCATTTCTCTCTCTCTCTCTCTCTCTTGCACTCACTCTCTCTCTCTCTCTCTACGATCGCATTTAAATCGAGTCTGAAAAATTAACGTTATCGTTATAATAATAATAATAATTATTATTAAATCATCATCATCATCATCATCATGATCGTGGCACAGGAAACGAATCCGGTTTTTTTTTTTTTTGTTAAATTTTGTCTCGAGGCCATTTTTTTTTTTACTCTATGCATTTGTTTTCTTTTGTATTAATATAATAAGTGAGGTAAATGAAAGGGGGGAAAAAATGAAAAAATGAATTAATTTATTGTCGGCCATTTTTTCTATTATTATTATTATTATTATTATTATTATTATTATTATTATTATCTCGATAGAAAATTGAATTTAATAAAAAAAGAAAGAAAAAAAGTCATTTAATTACGTTCACACATACCGGAGTCCACGGCCATTGTTTTTTGTATTCCGACAAAAAACACTTGTGGGAGTTTTTTTTTAATTCGATACGCGAATGCAAAAAAAAAAACGAAATTTTAATCAAACGGGGGGGGAAATTTCATAGAGTAATAAAATTGTTTACACGACGATCGCGTAAGAAAGTTTAATAGAAATTAACGTTGTTGTTCCGTTTCTATTTTTCATTTCGTTATCTTTGTCTCTCTCTCTCTCTCTCTCTCTCTTTCTCTCTCTATGGGCGCGCCATTTTTTTAAAAAGTCCGCGCTCGCCTCGGGTTCAAAAGAGAGAGAGAGAGAGAAAGAATGTGTATTATATCGTGAGCGAAGAAAAAAAAAAGGAAAAAAATTTGAAAGGTTTTCTTTCTTATTTAAAAAAAAAAAAAACAATTTTTTTTTTTTTTATCCGTTTTGAAATCGAACACGATCGATCTCGATATTATCTCGAGCAAAACCGATAGATAATAAATCGTTTTCGATATCGATACGAATCCGAAACTACTTTTACTGACATTTAAAAAAAATAAATAAATAATTTTGGCGCGTAAAAAAGAATTTCGATGGAAAAATTCAAACGTTTTGCGGTCGGAATCGAATCGTTGAACTTTTGCCATAGAGCGGGCGGTGTGTGTGTGTGTGTGTGTGTAAAAAAAAAAGACGTGGAATCAGACGCGATGTATTTTGATGGGGGGGGAGAAGGAGGGTTTATTTTATTTTCCTTTCCTTTCCTTTCCTTTCACTCTTGTTTCCAACGATTTAATCGAAAAATAATAAGAAAACATTAACGCGTAAATAATTTTAATAATAATAATAATAATAATAATAGTGTGGGAGATTATTAAAAATTTTTTTCCCTTTTAAATCCCGTGACGAAAATCGAAAAAAAAAAAAAAACTTTTAAAAATATTGATTCGTTCACGTTGTAATAATAATAATAATCGGTTTTTCGAACCGGGGGAGAAGGAGGGGGAGGGGAGGGCAGGAGGTAGGAGGAGGAGCACATTTACGAAATAATTCGTTTCATCCGGTTGATGGAAATCGTTAATTATTGAATTATTTGGCAAAATCATCTCATTTTTTAAATTTGAATTTCTCTCTCTCTCTCTCTCTCTCTCTCTCTCTCTCGATTGCACGCCGGTAGTAAATTGAATTTTTTGCTTTTCGTACATAATTGATGTTATTTTCTACAGTTGATTATAATTTAATGGTAACAATAAGAACAACAACAACAACAATAACAATAGGGCGGTAGCAGAAGTAGAAAGAAAATCAATAAACATTTCGTGCGTTACGTCATCATCATTATTATTATTATTATTAAATTTTTCGTTTTTTTTTTAGGTTGAGGGTAAAGGATCCGAATTAGAAACGATCGTTCCCATACGTAAAAAGTAAAAGATGGAAATTATAGACGACGAAACGCAATTCATCGACGACGATTACGATCACTCGAATCCCGGATTGTTTTACACAGTGACGAGAATCGGAAAGGAATTCGAATACTACGAAAAAGGTTGCAATTGTGAAAATTCTAATTGCACGACGGAAACGGGTTGCGATTGTTTGAAATACGGCGACAATTATCAATTGAACGACGAGGGAAATTTGATATTGAAAAATGATAAATTTGACAACGCATTACCCATTTTCGAATGTAATTTCAATTGTTCTTGTTTTCGACACGTGTTTGAAAATCGAAATCGTCACGGAAGTGGAAAAGTTTCGAAACTTTTTTGCCCGAATCGTAACGTTCAATTCGGACCGTTGAAAACTCTCGAAATATTCGACGCGGGAAAAAAAGGTTTGGGTTTGAAAACGAACGAGACGATACGTCGGGGTACGTTCATTTGCGAATACGCGGGAGAAATTATAAATTTGAAAACGGCAAAAGAGCGGGAAAAAAATCAACGCGATGACATGAATTACATATTCATATGTAAAGAATACGCGGGTGATAAATTTTGCAACGTCACGATCGTCGATCCGACTTTTATCGGAAACGTCGGACGTTACATAAATCACAGTTGCCAACCTAATTCCGTCATTGTTCCGATTCGAGTGAACGATTCGACTCCTCACTTGTGCGTGTTCGCAATTCGAGATATCGAAAAAAACGAAGAAATTTGTTACGATTATTCCGGTCGAAATCGTATCGAAACTACTCCATCGAACGAAATCGATTTTCCTAATAGAAAACTTTGCTATTGTCAATCACCCTCGTGTAAATCCTTTTTACCCTATGAACTTAACGTTTGAATTCAAATCATCGCTTTGTTGTTGTTATTGTTATTATTATTATTATTTATTTATTTTAAATGGTTAATACGCAGAGAGACTGAAAATAAAAATGTTAATATATATGCATGCATTATAATAATATATATTAAAATTTAAAAAAAATATATATATATATACATATAATTTAATAAAATAAATTCAATTCGTAAATAAAAATCGTATTAAAATATCAAATACGTATATATATATATAATGGAGTTTTTAAATTTATTATTATTATTATTATTATTATTATTATTATTAATTTTCTGTACCTAAATTACAAGTTGAAACACCTTTTCCAAAATCTATCCATTGTGTGATAAAGATGTTTTCTTACACTTAATAAACTGTGATTTTCATCTGGGTAACTCTGGAAAAAAATAAAATAAATAAATTTCATAGAGTAATTTTCGTAAAAATTTCATAGAGTAAATAAAAAATTTTTTAAATGGCTCCCTGGATTTCAACTCGTATAAAAATCTTTTTTTTTTTTTTTTGAGTGTGCGAAAATTTATTAAATTAATTTTTTTTAATGCGTTCATATAAGAGAGAGAGAGAGAATTATATATATAAAACCGTAATTTTAAATTTACCATCTTTTTTTTTTAAAGAAAAATTACGCGAAAATTCGTACATTAATGTTAATTGCTTTTTATCCGAGCATCAAATTAAACATTTTTTTTTTTAATGGAGAAAACGAAATTTAGGCGGCGTAAAATATTATTATTATTTCTTACCATTAATTCAAATGGTATATTTTTCTTTTCCAAAACTCTTGCCAACATCATTGCATTTTGATAATGTACGTTATCATCCGCGTTCCCGTGTATTAAAAAATATTTTTTTTTAAGAAGATTCGTGACGTCATACAACGTGCTCGATTTTTTATAACCTTCTTTGTTTTCTTCCGGTAAACCCATGTATCTTTCCGTGTACACGGAATCTGCAAAAACAACAAAATTTTTAATAAAAGTGTTGAAAATCACGTGGTCGTCGTAATGATAATAATAATAATTAACCGTAATAAAGCCAATCCGCGACGGGAGCAACGGCGATTCCACATTTAAATACGTTATTAAAATCCATTTCTAAAACTTTTGTCGTCGCGTATCCTCCATAACTCCAACCCCAAATTCCAGTATTATTAGAATCGATAAATGGAAATTGTTTTTGTAAAGTCCTGTAAAAAATAAAATTTTCAATCTCTCTCTCTCTCTCTCTCCCCTTCTCTCTCTCTTTTTTTCTCTCTCTTTCTCTCTCTCTCTTTCTCTCTCTCTCTCTCTTTATATTTTAATCGACATTATTGAAAACACGTTACCTCGTCACATTGATTTGATCGTACATTTCATAGGTACCAAGTGCTCTGTACCCGGCAAATAAAACGTTTTCACCTTTTTTTAAAGTGTTTCTACCATCGATGAAACCGTAAATCACGCTTAAATTCGTACTCATATAATAACCCCAATCAAATTTAAATGTGTTGCTGATTCCTTTACTTCCGGGTCCTCCGTACCTAGAAAAAAAATCAAAATGGAGATCTCATCTCATTTGACGTTTCATATCATCGAAAAAAAAAAATTATAGGAAATTTCACGGTTCTTATTACACGTAAATTAACAAAGGATATTTTGTTTTTCCACTTTTGTCCATATTCGGTGGTAAAAATAAACGAACGTCTGCTTTGAATGATCCTCCGACAACATCAACATTTAAATTTAATACTTCTGGAAATATTTTCCCTTCCATTTGATTACGTAATTTGAAATTGTTTTCTAACACACGTAAAGGTTTTCCAAGCGGATGTTCCTGATAAAACAATAATTATTTTTTATTTTTGCGTTTTTTGTATACGAGTGTGTGAAAAAAAAAAAAAAAAAAAGAAAAAATTGTTTTTATTACTGTTTTAAACAAATAAACAACTCTCGGATCGGGTCCATTACAATTAATAACAACGTAAGAACCTAATTTACTAAATTGTCCAGATGCATCTTTGCAAAATCTTCCCTCCGGGGATTTTATGTGACAAGTCAAACATTCAGGTTTTTCATTCGTATTCGATTCGGAAACTGCATAAACTTGAGATGTGGTCGAATCATTTACTTCCGGTGCCAAATAATAACTAAAAAAAAAATAATTTTAAAATGGGCAGAAAAAATTTACTTTTTTTCGGAAAGGTAAAAATGAAACTTACACCATTTTTGTTTTTTGATTCCAATAAAGTATTCGTTCGACATCGAAATGACCATTCGTCAAACTAAAACTGTCGCCATTTTCTTTATGTAAAACCAAATGTTTAAATTTACCCGAATCTCCAACCGAAATCCCTTCCAACATTAAAAATCTGTCGAGATTTTCACTTACTTTTGGCATTTCTGTATTTGCCCATCCACGTTCTTTTAAATGTTGAAATTTCTACAAAAAAAAAAAAAATGGCTTCCATTTATTTTGCTACAATAATTATAACAGAATTCATTTTTTTACAAAAAAACTCACGATTTGACATGGATTTTCTTGTTTTAAATCACACATATACGTTTTAGATTCGTTTTGTACTCTATTTGTCATCATGTATAAAAATTTATCATTATCAGCCCATTTTAATCCATAGAAAATGTCTTCACTAAAAGTAATCAATGATGATGATGAAATCACTCTTGTTAAAAAAAGTGACATTAATAATAATATTAATACTTACTTAGATTGTGCAAATAATTTTTTAAGTGTTACATTTTTAAGTGTTACATGCCAAAGTTTAAAATCTGGTGGAGTCGAACCTGATTTCGGATAACGTATTTCAACTTCTTTCGGATACTGATTTTCCAATGAACCTGGTTCTCCATACTCGAAAAGGGTGGCCTTCTTAACTCTCGTGTCGTTTAAAGTAAGGTACAATAATTGATCACCGTTTGGTGAAAACCAATATGCTTTACTAGTGCTCAAAACCTCTTCTACAATTTAAACAACAAAACCTCAAACTCTATTAGGCTTTATTACAACCGACAGACAAAGATAAAATATAATTTTAAGGTCGTACCTTCATAAACCCAATCACTCATTCCGTTATACACGACTCCATGTAAACCAGTATTTGTTACTTGAACCGAATTCATGTTTTCATCAATATCCGTTACGACATATATATCATTGTTTTTAATAAAGAGTAATATATTGTTTTTCGGTCCCCAATCGGCTTCTTGAAGTCTTTCCTTGTTTGAAACATGATAATAAACTCTAAAAAAAACAAAATTTAATAAGTTCCAATACGAAAAAGCACAATTTAGTGTTTATTACAAAAAACAACGGCTAATCGTTAATCGTTTGCGCCGCCATTTTGAAATTCCTTGTTACAATATATCATTAATGATGAGTAAATGAAGGGGGGAAAAAAAAATTCGAAATCCGATGAGTTTTATTGTTTTTAAGTACGAAAAAACGTTACGAATGACAAAAAACTAACTTTTTTTAAGCTTTACGCGTGTAATTATTATTAATTTTACTGTTTTAAAAACCGTTAAAAAAAATTGTCAAAGCGTCATAAATTTAACATAAGAAAGGATTATTGCAAAAATGATTTTATCATAACGTTTTTAATAACCGGTAAAAAGATTTTTTTTTGAAATTATAATCGTGAGTGTTATTTGATATTATTAAAGTTAAGGAATTTTCATTCTTGAAAAAGTAGGGTGGGGGGGGAAATAAAATAAAATAAAACGGTAAAACCGTAAATGTTTTTTTTTTTTTTTTTCAAACGTCATTTTATTATTATCTCTTTTATAAAATAAAAAAAAATTTTTAAACTTGAGTGATTTCAACGATTGATAAAATCAAAGAAATGATATTTTTTACAATAATGGGTTTTTTTTTTCTAATAAAAAAAAAAAAAAAATTATCTACTCACCCATCTTTCAAAGAGTAAACAACGTACTGAGCCGTTTTCGTATGTCTAAACACCTGCGAATAAATAAAAGTAAAAAAATTTCATAGAGTAAATAAAAAAAAAAAAAAACTTCCTTTGTGGAAATTTTTCTATCTATGACAACTTACTGTCGTTTCGTTGTACGGTATCAAAACGTAATTTCTATCGTGTGAAAATTTATATTTGTTTGAATTGTATTTGTTAAAAACGGTTCGATTTAACGATACGTAAGTTTTATTCGTTTCTAAATTTAATATTTTTATATTTTTTGTGTCGTTATCTTGATACTCGAATTCATTATCTAAAAAAAAAACAAAAAAAGAATAAAAAATTTCACGTCAGGGAATTTTTCTCTCTATCTCTCTCTCTCTCTCTCTCTAACTTTATCTTCCATTTTTTTTGTTAAATTCCAAGAATTGAAATTATCGTTATTGTAAAAGATAAGAAAATCATTATTATTATTATTTAAAAATATAATTAATTCTTGCTCTTGATTTTAATTTGTATATCTTATCTCATTACATAATAATAATAATAATTTATTTAAACGTTTTCTAATTCGAATTAAAAAAACGTACGTTGTGAACGCCATTTTCTTTCCCCCCCCCTTCCCTCCAACTAATCGAAAATAAATAAAATAGGAAAAGAAAAAATTAGGTCTACAATAAAATTACCATAAAAAATCGATTAATAATCAATATTTGTGATTTTATTTATTTATTAGGGTACAAAAATGTCACAAAATTCAATTTGTTACGGTTACATTTTTTTCGGTTATTAACCTCGAACAAAATTATTATTATTATTATTATTATTATTAGTATTTTTTAATTTTTTTGCTGAAGTTCAGTTACGATAATCATTATTATTATGAAAGGTCGTACGTTACAATTAAACAGTGTATCGTTATAATTAATTTTAAATTTTGAAATTCGATTGCAAAACCAAAAAAAAAGACCACGTGACTAAAACGAATAAATTTTTTTCTTCTGCTGTTACTGTTAATTAAAAATTTTATACGAGTAATAAGAATAATATGGACTTAATTTTTAACGGTGCCGCCATTTTGAAAAATGTTTCTTTTTTAACCCCGTTTTACATAATAAAACATTTAATAATAAAAAATAAAAAATTATGTAAACGTTATGTAAATTTTTTTTTTTTTTTTTTTTTTTTTTACGTAACAAACGCGTACTTTTTTAAAAATATTTTTAATTAAAAAATAAAAAATAATAAATAATAAACTTACCGGAAATCCATGTTCCAAAAAATGAATTCACCGAATAAAAACCCAAAGCAGATTCTTCGATCGAAAATGGAGTTTTATCATTTTTCAACGGATTCGAAGACACAAAAACGAATCCGATAATAATAATAATAAATAATTCGACGTTTCGTATAATCATTATTATTAATTCTCCTTAAAAAAAATATGGATGATATTATTAAAAACACGATCGTCAACTAAATGAAACTTATCGAAACGGTCAAAAATATTTAAACCAAGATAAAGTACTCACAATGAAAAATCACCTTTTTACAACAACAACCGACTTAATTACGCATGGCAAAACAAACAAACAAACAAACAAATATACAAACGTCATACAAAAACAGGCTTTTTCTTTTCTTTCTTCCTTTTGCCCCGAAAATGTAGGTAAACGATTATTATTATTATTATTATTTTCCGATCGAAATTATTGGTCGTTTGTATGTACATCATCATCATCATCATCTTCTAAAAAAATAATAAAAACCGTTAAAAATTATTATTATTATTTTGCATTAATTTAAACATTGACATTTACGTTAAGTTAAAAACTTGATTTAAAAAAAAAAAAATTTTGTTGTTGTTGTTTGTTGTTGTGGTTGTTGTTGTTGTTTGTTGTTGTGGTTGTTGTTGTTGTTGTTGTTGTAAAATATATTATTGGGCGTGGTCGTTAATTAAAAAATTGGTAAAAGTTACCTTTGACATGTTTTTAATAGTTTTTGTGTGTTTTTTTTTTTTTAGGTAAGGCTCTTTTCCTCTTCGAAACCAACATTCATGTATCTCACGTTCATTTTTTTTTTTTTTTTGTCTTCTTTTTTTAATTTCACACAATATAAAATCTTAATTGTAAATTTTATTTTCCTTTAACCCCTCTTTTTTTTTTTCTAAATTACTTAATTTTTTTATCCTAAAAAAAAAAAAAAAAAAAAAAAAACAAAATGGCATCGTTTTACGTTTTTTTAAAAATTAATGCGTCTTGGTTGCGTAAATAAATAAGGAATACACGTGAGCCCGGATAGCTCAGTCGGTAGAGCATTAGGCTTTTAACCTAAGGGTCCAGGGTTCGAGTCCCTGTTCGGGCGAAATTTTTTTTTTTTTTTTTTTTTTTTTACGGGGTATTATTTGTTAAAGTTTTATGATTTGGATTAAGGGGATTATAACAGGGGATTAAGGGGTTCTTAAGGGGATTATAACTTATTAAATATTTTTTTTTTTTAATAACTTACAGGACATTAAACGTTAATGTTACGAGATGGAGCCCCAGTTGGCTGTCCCGCTATTTTAATAACTACAACTTCATCAGTTTGTTTATCTTCTGATTTATATCTTGATGGACCCTTATGAAGCGATTCGGTTTTCTACAAAAAAAGAGACATCGATCATTTTTTAAAAATATAATTACAATAAGACTGTGTTTGGGAATATATATATAAATAAATAAATAATAATAACCCTGTCGGTAATAGTTTTAGATGCTTTGGAATCATTTTGAGCTTGCATTTTACGTCTTTCATCTTGTGCACTTGTAACGGCCATTCTTTCAGCTGGTGTCATAACCATTAAACGAGGATCCATAGCAATCCAATCTGAATTTAATATTTGATACATACTTAAACGTTTTGTTACGTCTGGTTCGAGCATGAGTGTCACAAGTTTTTTAGCCTTGAATAATAATAATAATAAAATGGTTATGAATAAATAAATAATTTTATAATATACACATAAAAAAAAATTAATGATGAAGTTTTTTTTTTTTATTTTTGTTACAAACTTGATCAGTTAGAATATTTTCAACTTTGGCTCTGAATTTCCATTTTCTACTAGTTTGTTGTTCGTAAAGCCTTTTTATATTGGTATCATCGAATGGCATGGCTTTATTTAACATTATGTATAAAATAACACCCAGTGACCAAAGATCAGATATTTTCGGATTGTATGGTGTTCCTCTTAATATTTCAGGAGCGGCATAAGATAAAGATCCACAATAAGTTTCACTAAAATTAAAATAAATTTTTTTTTACATCTTACCATACCGCAACTACTACAACTATTTAAAATGTACCTTAAAATCCTTCTTCCTTTTGAATCGACAACATATCTTGCAAAACCAAAATCCGCAAGTTTGACATTATAATTAGAAGTAATTAATATATTTTCACATTTTAAATCTCTGTGAGCAATTTCTAATTCGTGTAAATATTGTAATCCCAAAGCCATTTGACGCAACCATACTCTTGCTTGACTTTCAACAATGGCACCATTTTTTAATACGAAATCTAATAAATCTCCATTTTCGGCAAAACGCATAAAAATAAAATATCTGTCAAAATATATTTGAATATAATATATGTTAAAAAATAAATAAAGAATCGATTTAATAAATAAAATTTTCAATTCTTACTTTGATCTCCTTTGAAATATTGAATGTACGTGTATAATGTGAGGATGATTTAATTTGACTAAAATATCTAATTCTCTTGGTAAAAATTTTCTTACAAAATCTCTTGGTGCTTTGGTCGTATCAATTATTTTACATGCTAATTGTGTTTTGTGTTCAGTAGAACTCTGAATATAATAATTAATAATAATAAATTAATTAAAACAAAAATTATTAAAAGGATAATTTTTTTTTTTTTTTTTTTTTTGACAATTACCTGGTTGGTCCCTACCGGATGATATTCAGATAAATAAACTTTAGCGTATGATCCTTCACCTGTTATAATAAATAATTTTTAACCCGTAAAGAAAAGAAATATATAACGCAAAAATAAAAAAAAATGGAATTAATTATTAAAATTAAAATTAAAATAATATCACGATTATATATTTACCCACCTAATTTTTTAACTAGTCTGTAACCACGGGAATTTAGAGTTACTTCTTCGCTGACAGATTGCCCTAATTCTTGATCAGACATTTTAATTTAGATAATCAAATTTTAGTTTCATTATTTTCCTTTTGACGTATCATTTTAATTAAGTTTAAAAGTTTTATTTTTAACCGTCGGACATGTATTAAATACAGCTGACGGTTAAATCGTACATTCTAATGACACTTTAAAAATTTTAATTTTTTTTTTTTTTTTTGACAAGGCTGTGGGATTTTTTGTTTTGTTTTGTTTTTTTTTTTGCGCGCGCGCTTGCGTACGAAAAAAAACAAACAAAAACAAAAACTTTGTTTTTCCAAAATTTAAACGTTTACGTGAATTTATTTTTTTTTTTTTCTTTCTTTCTTTTTTTGAAAAAAAAAAAAAAAAAAATTTAACGGGGGTTTTTTTTTGTTTTCGTAAATAAAAAATAAAAAATGGGTTAATTATTTAAAATTGTAAATACGAAAGACAAAAAAAAAAAAAAAAAAGAAAAAAAAAAAGAACCATAATAATTTGAAAACTTTATCACATAGGGGAAAAATTATTTATTTATTTATTTATTAAAAAAAAATAAATAAAATAATCGTGATATTTTTTTTTTTTGCATTTGAGTTATGAATTATATAAAAAATTTTCAGTTATGTAATAAAACAATGGCTTTTATTAATTTTTTAACACGTATAGTTTTAATTGATTTAATAGACTATGGTGTCTCGACACGATATAGATTCTAAAGATGAAAATGCAATACGATCTCACGGTCATAAAATAATAAAAAAATTAGGTAAAACAATATTCAAATGATTTTTTTTTTATAATTTAATAAATTATAATAATTTATTTATCATTAATTACAAGGTAAAGGAACTTATGCAACTGTTTACCTGACAGAATTTTTAGAAGATTCAAATAAAGAGGTAATAACAACATTGCTTTGTTAAAAATCTTACATTAAATTTTATTTTTATGGTTGGAGTATTTTTTTTTGTTTTCTAGAAATCTAAATTAAATCAATTTGCTTGTAAAATAATGGACACGCAAAAAAGTCCCGAAGATTTTGTTAAAAAATTTTTACCAAGAGAATTGAAAGCACTAAGAGAATTACGTCATCCACATATAATTCACATACATTCAATATTTAAAAATGACAACAAGTAAGTTTAATAATAATAATAATAGCGTGGTAATTATTTATAATAATAATATATTTAGAAAGGATTGATTATCAGATATTTAATATTTATGCGATACGCTGAGAGAGGAGATCTTTTAGAATTTACAATTAAATATGGAGCAATACGTGAAAGTCAGGCACGTATGTGGGCAAAACAAATATCTTTGGCACTTGAATACTTACACGAATTACAAATGGCGCACAGAGATTTAAAATGTGAAAATATATTAATAACAAATAATTTTAATGCTAAAGTTGCCGATTTTGGATTTTCAAGATTTCTCTTAGATGATAACGGAAATAAAGTTTTAAGGTAATGGAGTTTAAGTTTAAAATTTAAATGCAAATGTCGACGATAAACGATTCATTTTTTAGCGAAACTTATTGCGGATCGACATCTTATTCCCCCCCAGAAATATTAAAAGGTATACCATATAATCCGAAAGCATCAGATATTTGGTCATTAGGTATAATAATTTACGTCATGCTTAATAAAGCTATGCCATTTGGAGACATGTCGGTTAAAAAACTCTACGAAGAACAAGTTAAAAAAAAATGGAAATTTAAATCGTATATATCAACAATTATAAGCGCACAGGTTCTTATTTGATAAAAATTTTTTTTTACATTTATAAAAGAACAACAAAAGAAAATATTTTCCCATATTGAAAGTTTTAGGTGAAAGATTTATTGAATAATATGCTTGAACCTGATCCTGCAAAAAGATTTACGGTCGAAAAAGTATTAAATTCAGAATGGATACGTATGGATCCGAGAATTCAAGGGATGTCAGAAGAAGAAAATTTAGCTTTAAAGGAAGCAAAAGAAAAAAGGCAAAAATTAGAAAGAAAAAAATGTCATCTTTTAAAAAATAAAAATCCCGTAGAAGCAAAATGATAATGATATATAAATTTATACAAAAATAATTATTTTTACAATATATATATATATATACATTTATAAATATATGGATATATTACAAAATATTTTCCACATCATTTGATATTAAATTTTCTTTGATATTTTCTATTACTTTTACTTCTTCGCTTGTGAGATTGTTTTGTGCTAAATTTTTATCAACTTTTTTCGGCAACATAATTCCACTTAAAAGAGCAGCTTTACTTTTCTGCGGCAAACCTTTGTCTTTTCTCGATTTTCTTATTTTCTTATTTTTTGAACTTTTAGTCGTTTCTTTTTTTTTCTCCGATTCTGTATGAAGCCTTTGATGTTTTTTAAGCGTTGTCTAAAATTATGTTTTTATTCTCCTATAATTTTCTTATAAATCATCGAGAGGGAAAAAAATACTTTGGTACTTACTTTACTAGTGTACAATTTCTTACACACTAAACATTCATATGTGATGCCTATATGGTATGATTCTAAGTGATGATACAGGTTTCTCTGATGATAATAATGTCTATCGCAGTCTCTGAATGGACAAACTAATACTTCTCTGCTGCTTTTGGGTAAATGTGATAGAACATGTTCTGTCAATGACCATTTATTTAAATATTTATGACCGCAAAAATCACATATCAACCCTAAAAGTAAAACATTTGTAATTAAAAATAAAAAGAAATTTCAGAAAAGGGATATATTTTATGTTAAATATAACTCACAATTTGGATGATATTTTTTTACATGAGCTCTTAGAGCATTATAATTATTGAATTCCTGATTGCAATCATCGTTTTCACACTTGTACACTTTATGTTTTCTTTCATGTTTTTTAAGTTCTCCAGCATTGATAAAATTTTCACCGCAAGAGTTACAATTAAAAATCTTTGTACCAGAATGAACAGACATGTGGATTTTAAACTGGTTGAATTCTTTAAAAGACTGATTACATATTTCACATGTGTACAAGTTAGTAGACTTATGAACATTATAATGCTTTTTTAAACTCCACTTATTCGAAAAGGTTTTTATACAATCTGGATAGGGACACAAAATGTTAAGCGAAGAACTCTTCTTTTGACCATGACTTATTGATTGATGTCTTAAAAGATGTGACTTATTAGTGTAATCTTTTGTGCATAAAGGAAAATCACATTTGAATGGTCTCTAAAACAAATTTAAATTGCAAAAGTTTTCATTATTGTTATTTTTTGTAAAAGTTTTTAAAACTACTTACATATCCTACGTGAGTATTAATATGTCTCTCTAATTTCCACGGCCTATTAAATGCCGAATGACAATTTTTAAATGGACATTCATGTCGTTTAAGGCAATCAATTTTTAAATTTATGCTCGGATTTTTCTGAACTTCTATTTTTGATTTGTCACATTCTAAATCAGTATCAGAACCCATTTTTTTATGACGTGTGTTTAATATGACTTTTAAAAAATATTATACGTTGAATGAATCAAATACTGTATAAAATAATCAATTTATTTTTATTTATTTTTTAAACGTTTTTTTAATAATTAGTGAAACGTATTCTAATTACTGAAACATTTAAAAAGCAACTTTTGATTCTCAGAGTTCATAGGCAATATAAAATTAGGTTAAAGTTTTCTACTGCCACGACTTTTTCAGTTTAAAGCAACCTTATTCAAAAATAATAGGGTGTCAATTTTAGAAAAGTAATTTTTTTTTTTTTTTTAAATTAATAGTAAATTAAGTTTTTCATATTTTAATTAAATATTCTTTACGAAACGTTGTAATATCTTAAAATTTAATGTCATAAAAATTTTTAACCTAAACTATTTTTAATACTAGTTACAAATCAGAAATAGTGTAAATTTAATTATTTGTCGAATTTATTAATTTTTGTCAGTGAAGATATAATTTCAAAAAACTCTTAAAAAAAAAAAAAAAGGTATTTAATTTTGTTAGAAACTTCTTTAATTTTTAAACTTAAACGCACAAACTATTTAGCATATAATTAAAGTTGATTGAAATAAACTTTTGAAAAAATGGAGTTTAAAGATGGTATTATAAAATACAATATGTTCGAAAGTTTACACCGGTTTCAACTGGAAAGTTCAGGAGTACCTAAAAGATTCTGGTTTACCCTATATAAGAAAATAGAAAACAATATATTTGATGCTGGTAATGTTTTATCTGTATTTCGAATTGAATATGATGAAAAAAAACCTGAAGATCCTGTTTACACTGTGCTCGTTGTAAATCCAAATGGCCTTAACCATGAAGATCCTTCTCAAATTTATCTAATAGATCATGCATGGACGTATGAATGCAGTAAAGCAGTAGATAACCTGAGAAATATTCCTGGACTTGTCGAAAGAATGTGCAATTTAATGGGGATTCCAATAAGCGATGACATTTCTAAAAATGTGGATAATGTTTACAGAGAGATGTGGAAATATAATCAAACTTATTCTCCCAGTTTTGGAGATGTAGAAGATAGAATACCATTATGGTACATAATGGATGAATTGGGTTCAGCCATTGAACATTCTCATGAACCAAACTTTAGAACGGTGCCATTTTTTTACATAAATGGTCAAATAACATATTCTTTACTATTTCCAATAAAAGATGTATGCTTGAATGAAAAAGTTACCAGAGATTATTTGGAGGGGCCTTTTAGCAATAATCAAAATTTGAGAAAAGCTCTTAGTATTCCATGGTTACCATCATCATTTTTGGATGTTGATTTTGAAATGACAGAACCGGATAAAAATTATTTTGAATCAAAAAATTCAAAAGAAATTTTACCAATTATTGAGAGTCCTCTCACACTAGACACTACAAAAGTGCTTAAAGTTTATTCTGAATACAGTTACATAAATCAATATTTAAGAAGTTCTGATTTTGAAATTGTCAATACACCTTCAGAAGCTGATGTCCTATGGTTGCTCACACACATAAAAGACTACAAAAGTTACAGTGAAAACGAACCGAACAAATTACTCAATCAATTTCCATACGAAAGTTTAATCACGATGAAAAATTTATTATCGGTAATATGTCGAAGAAAGCAGGTTCAAGGTTTGGATAAATTTTCAGATAATCCTCCGTGGTATCCCGTATCGTACGATTTGGACGGTGAAATAAATAAATTCGTGAGTTATTATCAAAATCAGGAAAAAAATGGAAATAATAATTTATGGATATGTAAACCGTGGAATTTAGCAAGAGGACTCGACATAACAATCACGGATAATTTAAATTGCATACTTCGACTTCCTTCGACGGGTCCAAAATTGGCTCAAAAATATTTACACGATCCTGTTTTATTTAATCGTGGCGACGTGGGACTAGTCAAATTCGATATTCGTTACGTCATATTATTACAATCGGTAAAACCGTTAAAATTATACGCGTATAAAAATTTCTTTCTTAGATTTGCTAACAAACAATACGATTTGACCGATTTATGGGATAGAGAAAAACATTTTACCGTTATGAATTACAACGACGAAACTCCGTTGTTTAAAATGCTTTGCGATGAATTTATAATAAAATTTAACGAGCAAAATCCTTGCCACGAATGGAAGCACGTCGAAGGCGACATATTCAAAGCTATAAAAGAATTATTCGAAGGTGCAACATCCAAACCTCCACCTTTAGGTATAGGACACAACGTTCAATCTCGTGCTCTTTATGCTATTGACCTCATGCTATCATACGATAGCAAATGTTCGGATGATGGTAAAAAATTAATACAACCGAAAATATTAGAAGTTAATTGGCAACCTGATTGCGAAAGAGCTTGTAGATATTATCCAACATTTTACGATGATGTATTTTTACTCCTTTTTAAAAATAAATTGAACGAAAATGTTTTTCAAAAATTATAATAAATCAATCATTCAATCACATAATATAATAAAATAGAATTTATTTAATATAAATTTGAAATTGTTTATTTTAAACAGTTTTTCTTTAACTAATATAATAAATAATTAATCCAAAAAAAAAAGGTGTATGTAATGATAATGAAAAATTTATTACAAAAAAAAAAAAAGAAATTTATAATAATAATAATTTTTTTTTATAATTAAAATATTAGTGTCTAGTCAATCAACGGTCGTTTAAATTTACTGTTACTTCCTTATTATTATTATTATTATTCTTTGGATTTTTAATAAATCATTAAAAAAATTTATATATATATATATATATATATATATAAATATCAAAAGAAATAAATTAATGCTTAACAAAAAGTTAAAGTGGGTTATTTATTTGGTTAAAAAAATAATGATATTTAAATTGTGCACGTGCACACGTATGCACACACCCCTCTCCTCCTCCTCCCCTACTACTCCCTCCTCTACTACCCCACGACCTAATTTAAATTTTCAATTATCCAGTCGGCAAAATTTGAAACTCTCGTATAAACTCCTGGAAAACCAGGTTCGGCACATTTATATCCGTAAGACACGACGCCTATTTGATAGAAAACTCCGAGTTTATTTTTAAATTCGTAATCCATTAACGGACCCCCAGAATCACCCTGTGAAAAAAAAAAATTAAATAATTTATTATCATTA